GAGTCTCAAGCGGAAACTGAAATCACTAGATAATTTTAAGAAGTTTGGATTCAAAGTGACATCTTTGTCTACAGGCTGTACATGCACTTTTATTTATTCGTAACGCTTAAAAGATTGACCCTTAAAATATAGTAATAGGCATGAAGTTTAGTTAAATTTACCTATTGCATATATCTTAGGTGTCAGATAACTTGTAAATTTTTATGTGTCCACCAGCACATTAGGTCAATTTCTTGAGTTGTACAACAAAGGGCAACTGACTGCATTCCACTGATGAATATGGCCTGCCATGATCAGCAGAGCCTTTGAGAATACAGGCCAAATACTTAATTTTAAAATTCGGTTTAATGTACATTTTGTGTCAATAAGAGAACATAGAGTACTGTAATACAGAGTTTGTGCAACATCGTGAAAGGATGTTGTGAAGATTGCCTGTCGCTCACTTATTAAGTAAAGTTGAAGTGACATACATATACAGTACATGTAGTCACTCTTACTTACTTGCAGAGTGCCATCTCTTATAAGTGGGTCCTTCACAAGTCTGACCAGGCAGGGCAGTATGAGGCGTACTGTATTTCATCGATAAAGGCCGGTAGCCAAAGGAACCTAGATCAGAAGAAAAATATGTTTGTACTGTCATGCAACCTTTTTCAGAACACAAGTACACTTATTTACCTTTTGATAGCCAGTATACCAAGTTATGTGTATGTGCAGTGTATGTATGTATGTGCATGCCAAACAAAGCGCAATGTATGCTGTGGTAAAATTCCATTCCATACAGAACTACTCCAACCAGTAACAATTTTGGTCACCATGGAAATTTAAAATTNCAATTTCTTGAGTTGTACAACAAAGGGCAACTGACTGCATTCCACTGATGAATATGGCCTGCCATGATCAGCAGAGCCTTTGAGAATACAGGCCAAATACTTAATTTTAAAATTCGGTTTGATGTACATTTTATGTCAATAAGAGAACATAGAGTACTGTAATACAGAGTTTGTGCAACATGATGAAAGGATGTTGCAAAGATTGTCTGTCGCTTACTTATTAAGTAAAGTTGAAATGACATACATATACAGTACATGTAGTTACTCATACTTACTTGCAGAGTGCCATCTCTCATAAGTGGGTCCTTCACAAGTCTGACCAGGCAGGGCAGTATAAGGCCAACTGTATTTCATCAATAAAGGCTGGTAGCCAAAGGAACCTAGACCAGAAGAAAAATATGTTTGTACTGTCATGCAACTTTTTTCAGAACACAGGTACACTTATTTACCTTTTGATAGCTAGTATACCAAGTTATGTGTATGTGTAGTGTATGTATGTATGTGCTTGCCAAACAAAGCGCAATGTATGCTGTGGTAAAATTCCATTCCATACACAACTACTCCAACCAGTAACAATTTTGGTCACCATGGAAATTTAAAATTTAAATAATAATAATTTTGGTAGCTGAATTTGGTTGACTAATAAATTGTGAATCCCAGCCAAAGCTAGGCTTTGTCTGCTCGTCAATTTTGGTTTTGGATCAAACATGCAGTTACAACCCATTTTTCAAAAGCCAATATTAGAAAAGCTACTAAAGCTGATCCAAGTTAAAAAGTCAATTTCTTGGAAAAGAGTTATCACATAGATCTCACATTGTCCATTTGATCATTGATTTCAATTGCTAGCTGCAGAGACATAGAGACATTGGCATCACCTAACCATGCTTTTAAAAAAGGATTTGGTGAAATGCTCTCATGCTATCAGTGAAGATCACCAACCTCCAGGAGCTCTCTACTAAAATAA